CGTGGGCTGGGCGTGAAAAATATCACAATCCTGGAACTCTTGATTCATTTTTCTCACTGATTCGGTGAAGAAAGCAAGATCTCAACTCTACCAAAAGTAGCAGAAAATCAGGACCCTGACGGATGCCACCAGCCCAAGTACTCGAATGAGACCACCGCTCGACTGCAGGGCCGCAGTGAATCAGTGTCCAACTCACGACTTCAAAAGCATGCAAAAGCATGAGCAGACTACCAGTTGTCCAACAGCCCAGAACTCACGCAGCCGTTAACCGATGTTAACCGTCTCTGAAATGTGCCAGCTTGCCAAGCCTTTTTTCCAATGGAGGATTTCTAGAATTGATTCGAACAAACCACGGTGCGAAACGAAACGTTCGCCCTTGGGACCATCACTCAGTAGGAAGCCTCCTATCAAAATCTACATTTCAGAGTTGCGCAAATAGGAAAAATAGATGCATATACATTATATACAGATTCAGAAGTCCAAAATCAGCATCGCAGTGCATTTCTGAACTTGGAGACTTTCGCATATGTTTCAAATATATCCGGAACCTCAGTTGCATGAACTCTCCAAATTTGCCGCAGCTGAAGTCCGCTGCCTGAGATGATCCGACTCCGCCCACCACATCCATTCCTGGCAGTTCAAGCCAAGCTAACGCCATCTTAGTGGCCCAAATCATCACTCTCTCTCGATACTGTCCATCTCTTCAGAATGCGCAGAATTTCCTTGCAGTGTTCAATACTGCAGAACAGCAGCCAAAGATTGGCTTTCCTAAAGTCCTAGTCAACTCGAAACTGGAAGGCTATAGCTAACTGTGGCAGTCCTCCACCAGTGCAAAGGAACCCTCAAAGTATTACATCCAGAATGTATCTAAAGAGCTGATAGAATGTCCATCCCAATGCTTTACCTTTTTTCTGGCTATGGCGGAGATACTACTCTTAGTGTGAGAAATGAGATCTGGCAAGTCAATCCACCCAAACTGGCCTAGCAACATCTGACGGACGAGGCTGCAAATGTCCTGCAGGGCTGAGACGAGAACGAGAAGTGGGAAGGGTAGGTTGCTAGCCCCAATCTGGTTTCCAAGAGGTTGTTTACGACACATGGAGATGAGATGTGTTGAAAACTATGATGGGATGTGATGGGATATGTGCTGCACGGGCATGAAAAGTATGAAATGAAAACCCGCTGATTCCAAGGTGTCTATCAGGTTTTTCTGTGCAGCAAATGGCCGCTCCTGCTGCAGCACTTCCTGGGCAAACTCGTGGGAATAGTTGGTCAAGACCGACAAAATGTACAGAACCTGCGCGGATTCGATCCATCAACAAGGCATATATAAATATATTTATATATATATACACGAAACAAATAGACATATAGACTATTATAATTATATAGATAAACAGATTATATAACTCAATATAGTCAGTAAAACGAGGTCGGGGCTGTCACCTAAAACAATGAGGATGTTGCTCTGTGACTGGCCTCGGATAGCACAGAGGCGCCCCCAGAATTGGAGGAAGAGATCCCGTTGCCAAGCAAAAGCAGTAGATTGCTCAAGACCTCAGAATGGGCACCATAAGAGCAGCATACAAACATTCATAGTTGGCGGCTTGGGGTCCAAAAGTGCAGCAGGAAATACCAGGAATGTGTGTGTATATATATATATATATAGAGAGAGAGAGATACAATTGTATGTATATATATATTACATTATATACATATATATATACATTATATACATATATATATATGTATGGCTTCGGGCCCGTTTCCGGCGTTATTTTTTACGAGGTTTTCTACACGTGGTGATTTGCACTCAAAAGTCGTGTGAGTCAGACAGTGTTTCTGTGTGTTGCACTTCGAAGCATTGTGGGTGGAGACATCTGAAACACCGCAGGGGCTGCCTGGCGTCTCTGCACATGAAAGAGACTTTTCTCCAGTGAAGGTTTTGTTTGTGTGGAGAATGTAGGGGGCTCTTGTGGCCTTTGAGGGGGGGGTGGGGACTCTTGGGGCTGGTGGGGGTATGTGGCTGATTTGCAATTTCCACCAGGAGTCCCCAGCCCCCCCCCCCCTAGGATGCAATCCCTGGGGAAACGGTGCATTACAAGAACACATGACCATATTCTGATTGGACACTCTTGTTGGCCAGGCCAGCGCAATATAGTACACAATATATATATATATACATTTGTTAATCTATAATATAATATATAATATATAGTATTTTTGCTTTATGATATATGATATATAAATAATATAAAATATGTTGTATACAAATTACAATATAGAATAGATAAAATATAATTTAAAATATATAATAAGTTAAAACATACATTATATATCATATTTGATTTATCAAATATAATATGTCAAACATTATAGTACTAGTACTATTTATTTTTTATACATACATATGATATGAAATATATAGATCATGGTTTTGGTCACTGCCAATTTCACCAATTGTTAGGCAGATAATGTGATAGAGCCATTGTTGAAACTGCTTTTGCCCCCCAAAATCCGCCCGCACCGAAGGTGCTGGGGCGTGATCTTCCGGATGGCACTCGTAAAAGGTTACAGGTTTAGCTGGGGGGGGTGCATTTTTCGGCCAAAACCTCCTGTTTTTGATAGGTCGTGACGCTCGCCTTCAAAAAACACTGTAAAAAACAGTACGGAAGACACCTGTTCGTGAACGCGCCCGTCCAAAATCGGCAAGCGAAAAGTGAAAAAACCCCGTGTTTTTCAACTTTTTGACCTCAATTTTTTGGTTTGCAACATCTTTTTTTGCGGTTCCGCAGGTGGCCGGGCCCGGAGGCGGATTTTTGAGTTTTTGGACCCGTTTTCGGACTGATTTTCGTCGTTTTGTGATAGCAGAAACACTGGTTTTTACAGTGTTTTTCTGTTTTCTGCATGCTTGACGGCTAGCTTCAAAACTTCCAAAAACCTCGTAAATTACACTGTTTTATGTTACGGTGTGAATGAAAACATCGTAAATACCAGTGTTTTTTGACGTTGGTTAAAAAAACACTGTAAATTACAGTGTTTTTGGCCACCTGACCCTCAAAAACCACGGTATTTGCAGTGGTTTCTGCTTCTCACCGCGCAAAAACACTGTAAATAACAGCAATTTCGCCGTTTTTTCATGTTTTCGTTATTTTTCGAACTGCGTTGGTCCGCTATACATGGCTATCAAATTCTTCGCGTTTTTTTTTCCGACAATCAGTACTTTCGGATGTTTTTGGTCTCAATGGCCGACATCATTGGCAGTTACGAGCGGCTGCCCAACGATGCGGTGCGGGCGGTTGCCGTCGCGAAGCGACGTGAATATCGGGCCTTCAAGTCTGGGAAGGGGGATATCAATGGACACAAGACTACGCGGGTCATCTTTATTAAATTATAGCAACATATAGCAACCCAAAAAAAATAAAGAACAGTAAAATCATGTAAAATCATGTAAAATCCCACTAAAATAGTGATTAATTACGGTTCTATCTTTTGGGGGGGTTGCTATTAGCTATAATTAAACAATCACATTCTGGGTTGACAAGGTTGAATCATTTCGACCGATATACCAATGTACAGGGATGAGTCAAAACCTACTCCTAACCCCCGAACAAAGGCTGCGTAGACGTGTGTGAAAACACTGCAAAAAAGAACGCCTGTAACAGGCCCTAAACCATATATATATACATTATATACATATATGTATATGTACGTATGTATGTGTGCATGTATGTATGTATGATTATAATTGATTATATGTATATACAGTATACAGAGAGAGGTATTATATCATAGATAGGGTCTTCACGCACGAGTGGCATTTGCTGCTCTCTGGGATTCCTAGTACTCCCAGTCACCAAGTCGGCAGAATCTCTACTGCTCGGATACCAGACTGCACTGGGGCACATGTCCTGCCAGGAAAACACTTTCCAGTTTGAAACGCTTCGATTGTGTAGTGCTCCATAACTTCCAATTGCATCCGCACACACTGAAGCGTAACATGCGTAACTGTAGTAGCTACAGTACATGCCTCATGTCCATTTCAACACTGGGGCATTGCTCGCCGTCTGAGTCTACTCTATTGGACCAATGACACCTGTCCTGCAAGCTGGCAGACAGCTTCTCAGTAGTTACGGCAGGTGTCTCAGTGACCTTGGAGGCAGTCTTCGATGTCTCGTTCAGCTGCAACGATTTTCAGCGACTGCCCAAGGGGGCACAGAAAGAGACTTTTTTCCACCACTGCTCACACAGACCCCAAGTCAATCCCTCTAGATGAGGGATGGCTAAGGCTGCAAATATGATGACTAAGCAGAAAGAATAGACAAACTCTCTGACTCTCACAATACCGCACTGCATCCAAGGAAACTTGTAGTGCTTCAAGCCCGCATTAGCTGAGTTGATATCTCATGATGTCGACGATTGTCGACGTCAACAAGTAATGCCTTCCCCTGATGCTTTGCTGCACAATGCACCCATGATTCGATTCCAACACAGCCCTAAATCAGGAACAACATCGGACAACATCGGACAACATCGGACAACATCGGACAACATTCTGCTTCAGCTTGACATGCACACCTTACAAATCTCTACGAAGACTATCTTTGTTTGACATCAAACTCTCTGCCAGTCAGACGCTGCAGCATGCCCCGAATTTTTGGATTTTGATGGCAGGCAATGCCAGCAGCCGGATTCATTCAACATTCTTTCAGATCTTTCAGTTGACGGAACTGGAAACAGTCTTTTCCAACCAGCAAAAAGTGATCCCAGCATTACCTGCCCGACGTTCTTTTGAGGATTTGTTCCATCTTCCGGGCATTGAGCTCCGGAAGGCTCCTTTCTGATGTTCATCTCGGTCAAACAACTTGGCCAAGTGGTCAGATGGCACTCTGAGTAGGGATTTTCGATGATTTTCGTGTGACAGATCGCATCCAAAGTTCAACATATTTCAACATACTTCAACGTCAACTGTCGTGAACATCTCGATGCAAATCGAGGCTTCATTGCGAATCCTCAATGCAAATCAACTCGTTGGCCTGGCACACGAGTCAAGTATGTCAAGTGTTGATACAGTCTGGGTTTGTCTGAAAACATGGTACCGGGTCTGGTACCGCAAAAACTTCATGATTAGTCGATTAGTCATCCCTATCCCCATTAAAGTCGCAATTTTGAGGCATCCCCCTACTTTGAGACAGATGCATATGTGTCTTATTGTTTTTAAAGTGATGGTTTTTGAGTCAACCAGATCTGGCATCACATCATTTGCATACATTTCTCAGCCATTTGCACTCCACCAATTGGCATCATGAGCCAACCTCGAAACATCCCGACGCCACGGAAGAGGTAATCGTCGCGCAGATCTCACGCTTCACAGAGACAATTTCCACACCTCCCAGCAAAAGCTCGAAATTTCACGAGTGCACCAAAAATTTAACAAGCTGTCTCGTCGGTATCTTTGGAAATCAAGTTGGATGCTTGCCCTGTGAGATGAAAAAATGACTCTCCAGGTTCGTCAGGCTCTAACAAAGAAACCCTTAAAATCTGAGCAAAAATCCATTCAATTCTTATCGTCAAACCCTGGCCTTCCACAGCAGCCTCTGCAGGCTCTGGTGATTCTTTGGACCCGGTTGACGTCTTGTTCTCCGTGGCCTGTGTCACAAACCGTTCTAAGCAGGCTCTCAGGTGTTGTTTTTCCCATTTTGTTCAACCAATTCAACGGATTCTGAACAAGATTTCAAGCAGAACAGCTGGAGACAGGCAAAACATCGCAAAACTGTCCTTGGCCGAAGCAGCTTGCCGGCGGCTGAAAGGCCCTAAGCGCGGTCCGCAGCGGGCCAGCTTCTTCTGCTCCTCCGCCAAATCACCAGCGTTTCAGGATGCTTTCCATGGCCAAACTGAACCATAACCATGACTTCTGTGACTTTCGGCGAAACGTGTTGTTTTCACATCGACCCAACAATACAGACCGAAACTACAACAAACCAAATACTGTTTATAAAATATAACTACAACAAACCAAATACTGTTTATAAAATATATAAACATATATAAACAAACCAATGTTTCAGAGAGCTGAATCACAGTCTGCATCACAGGGATCCTTCTCAAGGTCACGCATCTGTTGTCGTGCTTCTTTCGCACGCTGTTTCAGCTCTTCCTGAGCTTTCTTGGTCTCTTCGACCTGAAACAAATGCGAACAAAGGGCTGCTGACATGAAGCCTCGCCAGATGAATTTGGTCTCTGCTGTTGAACTGAAAGTGCACTGCTTGCGGTAGTTTTGCAGCAATTTCTGAGGCATACGATATTGATTCAAGAGTGATTGATGCTCTGACCCGAGGCTGGCACCACTCGCAGCAGCTCCTCAATTTTTTGCCGCTTGGCATTCTCTTCGTCCTTCAGCGATTCTTCAGCCTCTTGGCGTTTCTTGCATGTCTCCTGAAGAATCAATGCGACCGGACGAAACTACAGCGACGACGAACACACCATGGACTTGGCTCGCAGTGTCCGAAAAAAAAAAAAACAGGTGCTATCCCCAACAGCTTGAAAGCTTCTGCATGTTTGCCATTAAAAGTGCTTATGCCGTAAAAATTAAGAGCTTATGCCATTAAAAAAAAAACATCGGAACCCTTTGGAATTTCACAAAGCATCTGCACCAGAACCCTCCAGAACCTCACAAGGTATCTGCACCGGAACCCTCCGGAACCTCACCAAGCATCTTCTCCGCCAAACCCTCCGGAACCTCACAAGGTATCTGCACCGGAACCTTCCGGAACCTCACAAGGTATCTGCCCCGGAACCCTCCGGAACCTCACCACGCATCTTCATCAAGACCCTCCGGAACCTCATCAGGTAGCTGCACCGGAAACTTCCAGGACCTCACCAGGTATACCTGCACCAAAACCCTCTAGAATCTAGAACCTAATCAAGTATCTGCACCGTAACCCTCCAGAACCTCACACCGGAAACTTCCGGAACCTCACAAGGTCTCTGCACCGGAACCTTCCGGAACCTCACCAGGTATCTGCCCCGGAACCCTCCGGAACCTCACCACGCATCTTCACCAAGACCCTCCGGAACTTCATCAGGTAGCTGCACCGGAAACTTCCAGAACCTCACCACGTACCTGCACCAAAACCCTCTAGAAGCTAACCAAGTATCTGCACCGTAACCCTCTGGAACCTCACCGAGTACCTGCACCGGAAACTTCCGGAACCTCACAAGGTATCTGCATCGGAACCCTCCGGAACCTCACAAGGTATCTGCAACGGAACCCTCCGGAACCGCACAGAGCCCTCCGGAGCCTCAGCCGGAACCCTCCGGAACCTCATGAGGTATCTGCACCGGAACCCTCCAGAACCTCACGAGGTATATCCGGAACCTTGTCCAGAATCTGGTGTTGAAGCTGCACCGGATCGCACCGGAGCTAATCTGGGCTAAAGACCCCATAGCAAAGTTTTGCTGTTGGGGAATAAGGAAACTCTGTAAACCTGACGACCTTCCATGACAGCACTGCAAAAAAATGCAGCAAATGAACAAAGTCTGTCTGTCCTTCTCCAAGTCCAGCAAAACCAGCATATCTTCGTAGCTGTGAAGCTCTTTCCGTTTCAAAGCACCTTCGACCCAAATCTCACCAGTGAAAATTGACTTGAAATATCTTCAAAACCTCAAAATCACATTTCTTCATGTTTCACCCATTCCTTTGGGCACTTTCGGGCCACAAAGACACTTAGTTTACAGTTTGTTTAGAATCAAAGACAAAGAAATCATGATGAAGTGCCGAAAAAACACTGCTCTGCACGGCATCTTTCTTCTTCAGCCGGATGTCCTTCACTTCTTGCAAGGCCTGGCTCAGGCAGCTCTGGAAACTTTTTATCATCTCAAAGTCTCAAAGAGACTTGTTTGAACTCGTTGCTCAACGTGTGAGTTGGATCCTTTGAACATGATCAAGTCACTTCTGTGCCTCTGCACTTGCCACAATTGAAACCATCCAAAAAGAAATACCGTAATTTATGCAGACTTGCCAATGGGTTGCAAAGAAAGTATTGCATGTTCCGGGCACGGAGAAAAAAAATGAAGAAAGATTGAAATTTGCTGACTTGCCAGTTCGCTTTTGTTTTGAGCTTCTGAATCATTGAATGGACAAGAGTACAAAATGTGTACATGCGGAAAAGAATGCCGATGCACCTCGGCTTCCAAACGTGACGCTTCTTCTACGCATTTTGCCATGGCGGCCACTTCCGACGCTGCCTCATCCACGAGTTTCTGTTTCTCATCTTCCACGGCCTGAAGGCAGAATCGTTGGACGTGAAACGATCCATCTCCTCCAGACCTTTTCGATTTCGTCTTGTCTCTCCCTGTCCAAAGTTGTTCCAAAGTTCAGTCTTCATCAACTTCCGATTCAATACATCATGAATCATATCCTATGAAATCATATGATTTGAACATATTCGAAAATTATGACCAAAACTCTCTTGAACAGGTCGGTCACCACACCTCCCACACCTCCCACACCCTGTCCTGAGCGGCTGCGATGTGCCGGTCGTGCTCCAGGAGTTCTCCTTCCAGGCGCTGACGGACCTCCTCAGCACTGCTCTTGGCCAACTCAGCCAGGACCCGCGCGCGGAGGTTGGCGCGGCGTCGCGGCTTCACTTCACCGGTCTCATTGGGCTCACCCGTCTCACCCTCATCCTGACCGTCACCACGAGACCCAGGAAATGACCACGAGAGGACCATCATGACGACATGGCAAGTCCAAACAAGTCCAAACAGGTCCAAACAGGTCCAAACAGGTCCAAACAGGTCCAAACAGGTCCAAACAGGTCCAAACAGGTCCAACGACCTTTCATTTCACGTGTTCTTGCATCAGGTGCGGGATCGTTTCAAGCTCGTATTGAAGCAGCAGGAACCGGAAGTCCGTCAAAGGAAACAGAAAAATGCAGTTCCAACCAAACTGACGACAACACGTTTAGCCCAAGGACCGTGCCTCTGCAGCTTCAACTTCCATGTCATCTGTCCCTTTCTTGGTCTCTGTGACCCCATGTGTCACAGAACCCAGCTGAGTTTCTCCAGCCTCAACTGCAGCTGCTTCAGGTTCCTGAGTTGGGAGCGACTCCGCAACCAAGGATGAGATCACGGTCTTCCCGACATCGGAAGCATGTCCCTGCTCAGTCGCATTCGATGGCTCCAGCATGTCACTGGCCTTGTCGGCCTGCCACGTAGCTTCCAGGGCACGCTGGCAGAAGAGAGAAATGAAAACCGTGACCCCAGTCACTTGTTTCGTGCAACAACCATGGCACCAGAGTTTCTCTGTAGATACTTTGTCAACTCTTCACCTTCCTTCAGATGAACGAAGCTATCAACTATCGGTACAAATGTGTCCAAGAAAGATATCTATGTGACAGTCTATGTGGTTGATCTGTGGTAAAGGAATATATAAATTCCATGGCAGTTCCAAATCTTCGGTGCAGGCCCATCTCGGTTGCCTTGGACTCGCAGGCCACAGCAACTGTTGGCAAAGGCATGGCTCCTGACCCCACAAATACCCCCTGGGAGTTTGCTTCCTAGGAATGATGTCATGGGTCGTTCTGACACTTTGCCAAGTCAACATCCCGCCAAGTCCAAAAAGCCAACCTGATACGACATACCTCAAATAATGTCGCGAGAGCTGGAGAGTTGCCCTGTTTCAGCAGCTCTTAGCTGCACAACAAAATGGTTTCCCAGTTGTATGGAATTTTAATTCACTGGGGCCCGACTTCCAGACACTTCAGCAAGACTGACCTCAAAACTGGGTTTGCAGCTACAAACGGTCAAACTTTACATGGACTGCCCAACACTGTACTACATTCTTTCCCTTGCCCTTTCCTGTTTCAACGATATGTCTATCCAAACCGGACCACCTGCCATCACAGGCAGGTTTCATGTAGAGGACTCCGAGCTTTGTAAGCCCCTTCCCACGCCAAACCATCACAGGCAACAAATCTGTTTGTTTTACTATGTTATGATTGTTATGTTGTCTCCCTATTTTCCTCCCTAATCATCTCCCTGTTTTTCCTCCTTATTTATGTCCATATTTTCCCAACAATCAATCATCCCCCACTCCCTTCAACACCTGTCCAGAAGTTGTAGACTCAACTACAGTACCAATGTTTCAGGCTGCGAGCCAGAAAGCACAGAACGGACATTTCCAGGTCAGATGGAACCAGCAGTCCAATTGAACCACGCACCAAGTGGCTACCACCTGCATTATAAGCCCCCTCTCGCAGCACAAACACACATGTCTACACATTGAGAAAAAAAAGATACAGAATGCGTACATACACATCATATATATATATTATCTATAATTATTATATATGTTATGCAGCAATGCATCAAATTATGTATATATATATATATACACACACATCTCTGTTTTCTTGACCACGGCTCACACACCCCAAGTCAATCCCGCCAGATTCATGAGGGATGACTAAGGCTGCAAGGGTGACTCGGCAGAGAGAACCACAGTTTCAAGGGCTCATGGCTGACATGGAGAAATTTGGTTCCTGCATGCCTCTTGAAGTCAAAGGAGAGTAAGATGAGAGTAATTAAAACATATTAAAATAGCATAAAATAGCTTCTTCGCAGGGCTTGGGTCGTTCTAGGCACCCTCAGCTTGAGGAAAATGCCTCCCAGCATCTTAAGTCAAAACAAGGGTTGCGATAGTTTGAATCTCGATCAGCATCTTGTATTGCAATCCTGGTCGGCATTGCAGCTCGGACAGTCTATATCCTTCAACAGTTCCAATGTTTCTGATTCATTAATTATACATTGTCATTACATGACAATTTGAAGAGTCCTGCCTTCCCAACCTTCAGACCAGGCAAATGTGTATAGGGACAGTGTCCGAAGACTAGCTTTCTCAAATGACTGCATGTCGAAATCTCTGCCAGTCAGACGCTGCAGCATGCCCCGAATTTTTGGATTTTGATGGCAGGCAATGCCAGCAGCCGGATTCATTCAACATTTTTTCAGATCTTTCAGTTGACGGAACTGGAAACAGTCTTTTCCAACCAGCAAAAAGTGATCCCAGCATTACCTGCCCGACGTTCTTTTGAGGATTTGTTCCATCTTCCGGGCATTTAGCTCCGGAAGGCTCCTTTCTGATGTTCATCTCGGTCAAACAACTTGGCCAAGTGGTCAGATGGCACTCTGAGTAGGGATTTTCGATGATTTTCGTGTGACAGATCGCATCCAAAGTTCAACATATTTCAACATACTTCAACGTCAACTGTCGTGAACATCTCGATGCAAATCGAGGCTTCATTGCGAATCCTCAATGCAAATCAACTCGTTGGCCTGGCACACGAGTCAAGTATGTCAAGTGTTGATACAGTCTGGGTTTGTCTGAAAACATGGTACCGGGTCTGGTACCGCAAAAACTTCATGATTAGTCGATTAGTCATCCCTATCCCCATTAAAGTCGCAATTTTGAGGCATCCCCCTACTTTGAGACAGATGCATATATGTCTTATTGTTTTTAAAGTGATGGTTTTTGAGTCAACCAGATCTGGCATCACATCATTTGCATACATTTCTCAGCCATTTGCACTCCACCAATTGGCATCATGAGCCAACCTCGAAACATCCCGACGCCACGGAAGAGGTAATCGTCGCGCAGATCTCACGCTTCACAGAGACAATTTCCACACCTCCCAGCAAAAGCTCGAAATTTCACGAGTGCACCAAAATTTCACAAGCTGTCTCGTCGGTATCTTTGGAAATCAAGTTGGATGCTTGCCCTGTGAGATGAAAAAATGACTCTCCAGGTTCATCAGGCTCTAACCAAGAAACCTTTAAAATCTGAGCAAAAATCCATTCAATTCTTATCGTCAAACCCTGGCCTTCCACAGCAGCCTCTGCAGGCTCTGGTGATTCTTTGGACCCGGTTGACGTCTTGTTCTCCGTGGCCTGTGTCACAAACCGTTCTAAGCAGGCTCTCAGGTGTTGTTTTTCCCATTTTGTTCAACCAATTCAACGGATTCTGAACAAGATTTCAAGCAGAACAGCTGGAGACAGGCAAAACATCGCAAAACTGTCCTTGGCCGAAGCAGCTTGCCGGCGGCTGAAAGGCCCTAAGCGCGGTCCGCAGCGGGCCAGCTTCTTCTGCTCCTCCGCCAAATCACCAGCGTTTCAGGATGCTTTCCATGGCCAAACTGAACCATAACCATGACTTCTGTGACTTTCGGCGAAACGTGTTGTTTTCACATCGACAGACCGAAACTACAACAAACCAAATACTGTTTATAAAATATATAAACATATATAAACAAACCAATGTTTCAGAGAGCTGAATCACAGTCTGCATCACAGGGATCCTTCTCAAGGTCATGCATCTGTTGTCGTGCTTCTTTCGCACGCTGTTTCAGCTCTTCCTGAGCTTTCTTGGTCTCTTCGACCTGAAACAAATGCGAACAAAGGGCTGCTGACATGAAGCCTCGCCAGATGAATTTGGTCTCTGCTGTTGAACTGAAAGTGCACTGCTTGCGGTAATTTTGCAGCAATTTCTGAGGCAGACGATATCGATTCAAGAGTGATTGATGCTCTGACCCGAGGCTGGCACCACTCGCAGCAGCTCCTCAATTTTTTGCCGCTTGGCATTCTCTTCGTCCTTCAGCGATTCTTCAGCCTCTTGGCGTTTCTTGCATCGCTCCTGAAGAATCAATGCGACCGGGCAGAACTACAGCGACGACTAACACACCATGGACTTGGCTCGCAGTGTCCGAAAAAAATAAAATAAACAGGTGCTATCCCCAACAGCTTGAAAGCTTCTGCATGTTTGCCATAAAAAGTGCTTATGCCGTAAAAATTAAGCGCTTATGCCATAAAAATTAAGTGCTTATGCCATTAAAAGAAAATCGGAACCCTTTGGAATTTCACAAAGCATCTGCACCAGAACCCTCCAGAACCTCACAAGGTATCTGCACCGGAACCCTCCGGAACCTCACCACGCATCTTCTCCGCCAAAACCCTCCGGAACCTCACAAGGTATCTGCACCGGAACCTTCCGGAACCTCACAAGGTATCTGCCCCGGAACCCTCCGGAACCTCACCACGCATCTTCACCGAGACCCTCCGGAACCTCATCAGGTAGCTGCACTGGAAACTTCCGGAACCTCACCAGGTACCTGCACCAAAACCCTCTAGATTCTAGAATCTAGAACCTAACCAAGTATCTGCACCGTAACCCTCCGGAACCTCACACCGGAAACTTCCGGAACCTCACAAGGTATCTGCACCGCAACCTTCCGGAACCTCACAAGGTATCTGCCCCGGAACCCTCCGGAACCTCACAAGGTATCTGCCCCGGAACCCTCCGGAACCTCACCACGCATCTTCACCAAGACCCTCCGGAACCTCATCAGGTAGCTGCACCGGAAACTTCCAGAACCTCACCAGGTACCTGCACCAAAACCCTCTAGAATCTAGAACCTAATCAAGTATCTGCACCGTAACCCTCCAGACCTCACCAAGCATCTTCTCCGCCAAAACCCTCCGGAACCTCACAAGGTCTCTGCACCGGAACCTTCCGGAACCTCACAAGGTATCTGCCCCGGAACCCTCCGGAACATCACCACGCATCTTCACCAAGACCCTCCGGAACCTCATCAGGTAGCTGCACCGGAAACTTCCAGAACCTCACCTACCTGCACCAAAACCCTCTAGAAGCTAACCAAGTATCTGCACCGTAACCTCTGGAACCTCACCGAGTACCTGCACCGGAAACTTCCGGAACCTCACAAGGTATCTGCATCGGAACCCTCCGGAACCTCACAAGGTATCTGCAACGGAACCCTCCGGAACCGCACAGAGCCCTCCGGAGCCTCAGCCGGAACCCTCCGGAACCTCATGAGGTATCTGCACCGGAATCCTCCGGAACCTCACGAGGTATCTGCACCAGAACCATCCAGAACCTTGTCCGGAATCTGGTGTTGAAGCTGCACCGGATCGCACCGGAGCTAATCTGGGCTAAAGACCCCATAGCAAAGTTTTGCTGTTGGGGAATAAGGAAACTCTGTAAACCTGACGACCTTCTTCTACAGCACTGCAAAAAAATGCAGCAAATGAACAAAGTCTGTCTGTCCTTCTCCAAGTCCAGCAAAACCAGCATATCTTCGTAGCTGTGAAGCTCTTTCCGTTTCAAAGCACCTTCGACCCAAATCTCACCAGTGAAAATTGACTTGAAATATCTTCAAACCTCAAAATCACATTTTTTCATGTTTCACCCATTCCTTTGGGCACTTTCGGGCCACAAAGACACTTAGTTTACAGTTTGTTTAGAATCAAAAGACAAAGAAATCATGATGAAGTGCCGAAAAAACACTGCTCTGCACGGCATCTTTCTTCTTCAGCCGGATGTCCTTCACTTCTTGCAAGGCCTGGCTCAGGCAGCTCTGGAAACTTTTTATCATCTCAAAGTCTCAAAGAGACTTGTTTGAACTCGTTGCTCAACGTGTGAGTTGGATCCTTTGAACATGATCAAGTCACTTCTGTGCCTCTGCACTTGCCACAATTGAAACCATCCAAAAAGAAATACCGTAATTTATGCAGACTTGCCAATGGGTTGCAAAGAAAGTATTGCATGTTCCGGGCACGGAGAAAAAAAATGAAGAAAGATTGAAATTTTCTGACTTGCCAGTTCGCTTTTGTTTTGAGCTTCTGAATCATTGAATGGACAAGAGTACAAAATGTGTACAAGATGCGGAAAAGAATGCCGATGCACCTCGGCTTCCAAACGTGACGCTTCTTCTACGCATTTTGCCATGGCGGCCACTTCCGACGCTGCCTCATCCACGAGTTTCTGTTTCTCATCTTCCACGGCCTGAAGGCAAGGCAGAATCGTTGGACGTGAAACGATCCATCTCCTCCAGACCTTTTCGATTTCTTCGTCTTGTCTCTCCCTCTCTGTCCAAAGTTGTTCCAAAGTTCAGTCTTCATCAACTTCCGATTCAATACATCATGAATCATATCCTATGAAATCATATGATTTGAACATATTCGAAAATTATGACCAAAACTCTCTTGAACAGGTCGGTCACCACACCTCCCACACCTCCCACACCCTGTCCTGAGCGGCTGCGATGTGCCGGTCGTGCTCCAGGAGTTCTCCTTCCAGGCGCTGACGGACCTCCTCAGCACTGCTCTTGGCCAACTCAGCCAGGACCCGCGCGCGGAGGTTGGCGCGGCGTCGCGGCTTCACTTCACCGGTCTCATTGGGCTCACCCGTCTCACCCTCATCCTGACCGTCACCACGAGACCCAGGAAATGACCACGAGAGGACCATCATGACGACATGGCAAGTCCAAACAAGTCCAAACAGGTCCAAACAGGTCCAAACAGGTCCAAACAGGTCCAAACAGGTCCAAACAGGTCCAAACAGGTCCAACGACCTTTCATTTCACGTGTTCTTGCATCAGGTGCGGGATCGTTTCAAGCTCGTATTGAAGCAGCAGGAACCGGAAGTCCGTCAAAGGAAACAGAAAAATGCAGTTCCAACCAAACTGACGACAACACGTTTAGCCCAAGGACCCTGCCTCTGCAGCTTCAACTTCCATGTCATCTGTCCCTTTCTTGGTCTCTGTGACCCCATGTGTCACAGAACCCAGCTGAGTTTCTCCGGCCTCAACTGCAGCTGCTTCAGGTTCCTGAGTTGGGAGCGACTCCGCAGCTAAGGATGAGATCACGGTCTTCCCGACATCGGAAGCATGTCCCTGCTCAGTCGCATTCGATGGCTCCAGCATGTCACCACTGGCCTTGTCGGCCTGCCACGTAGCTTATCTCTGCATCATGCATGCTCCATTATCAAAGAGTGAAGGAGATTTCCGAATATGTTGGTACCTGCTTCAAACTATCTCAAGTGAAGCCCACAGGTTCTCACAGAAATGCCACTACCCTCCACCACCCCTCGGATCCTTTGACAGCTCGGGAGCCACAGCAACTGTTGGCAAAGGCATGGCGTTTCCTGGCCTCACAATAGATCCCAGACAAAGCTAAGTTCACTGGTGTCCTAGATTTCCATCGGCAAGATGTTCCCCAGACTGTTCCTTGAAGGTCTCCAAGTCCTTTTACCAAACTGCAAAAGCAAACTGCGCACAGTCTTTCTGAACACAGAGCCCTTAGCAGTAGCAAATCAACCACCGATTCTCCTCCCATCCTGCCTGGAAGTTCAGATCTTGAAGACTCAACAGCCCAGAGCGTGAAGGATGTGACCCTCTTGGAACTGTGAGCCAAGAGGCAAGAATGAGGACATGTCGCCTTCAGAAGTTCTATCGATTTTATCGGTCTGAAAAGAACCAAATGGAAGCTGCCTTGAGAGTTTCAGTCCAAGTCATGCGAGCAAATGCCTGCATACCATTGCATACCTCAATAAGGTTTTCATGTTCATGGATGGTTTGCGCCCCATTCCAGGTGTCCTTGTGACAGCACAGAACCACAACCGCACTAAAACACAGGGACTGTTGGCGGCGGCACTTCTCCCGGGGCCACGGCGGCCGGTGGGGGAATCGGCGGCTCGTCGTCGTCATCGTCGTCGTCGTCATCCTCCTCCTGCCAAGACAAGGCCACAGGTGATCCAACAAGCTACATGCAAACAGCACAAACCCAGGCAAACAGCACAAACCCAGGCCTCTGCTCGCTTCTCAGCTGCCAAGCCTCAGCTTACGGATCAGTGTGGATGGCACCAACTATTTCAAACCAAAACAAACAGCTGGATCGACCTAAATCGACCAAAACGAAAATCTCAGCTTCACACGAAGACTAGCTTCGGCAGCAAAACGTGAGACCAGGGAGCCTGTCATACATCAAAGGATTGAAACCATGAGAAGAAAATGCTATGGGTCCCTTTCCAACTCAAAACCGTTCCCTTAAGATCTCTCCCCTTGTCCACCACGATGCAATAGTTGGTTGGTAGGCTGTGGCGTTGACTGGCAAATTAGCATAAAAATGAACAGTCTCCAAAGTGTCGGAGGGGATTTTGCTTTCACGCAAAGAAGAACCACAATGGTAACCACAAATGGCTCTTCGGCACCTTTCTACACCCGTGAAGAGGCATCTTTAACTTTCCGTTTCAGGCATCGGAAACAAGTCCCATGTTGCACCTAAATTGCTCGGCTCTTCCTTTGGGCGTTCATGAGCAGCAATGCAGCCATCCTGAAGCTGCCAAAGTTGTCTGAAAACCATCCTAGATTCATTGATCCCCTCCAGTTGGCAAGAATGGCAGTCTGAGCCCAGCGCGATGACTCTTCGCCAGCATTCACAAATGGAGTGCAATACCTGCGATGATAGAGCTGAAGAATCAACCCCTCAGGATACACTGTTTGGCAATCATCGCCTTTGGAGCCGTTTTGAACATTGTGGTATTCTTGAGTCTTGACCCTAACCGATTCCCCCAGGCTCGGATTGTACATAACAATCTGCACTCTAATATTGTGAAGTGCCCTTGACACTTGCTTCTTGAGAGTCCGTGTCACATCGTGTCACAAGCCAAAGATCTGCTAGGTCCAACATGGTCCAACAGCAATATGCTCTGGATGTCCGGGACAAAGACAGCAGGTTCCCTATCAGTTCGCGCCTGCGGATCAGAGTGCTGCAACCTGCACAGCAGAGCGACCAATTGCAATGGTATAAAACCCAAAGGACGTACAGGCCCTTGTTCGTACTCCACCCCAACACATAGAACTGTTCTCTGTTTTTCAAGTGAAGCTGAAACGACACAATCACCAAGAAGGGTGTGTGGACTCTTCCGAGGAAGGAAATGGAACGACCTCCAATCTCAAAAATTGCCTTCACGAACCATGTCACGAAATGGAACCATGTCTCTTCCTCTTCTGTGATTCATATGATTCATATGATTCATAAGCGTCAAAAAGTCGTTGTCTGTGTATTGACCCAATAACTCATGCTGTGAACCACTGGTAACTTGGGCATGGGCAGTTGCGCCAAGGTTGGCAACACCGGCTTCACATGCTGCTCGAACCTGCAAGTCTGCAAGTGCTGTGGACTCCCCAGTGAGCAAGTCTACAACACTTGCCACTGATCGTAAAGGCCTAGCGGCCTAGCCCTACTCATCTTACTCTTCCTTTATAAACTTTAGCCTTTAGCCCTTTAAAAAACTGCACTTGCTGGGATCCTTCATTTGCCACTCCAAAGTCTCATCTGAATGTCTTCAGTGCGGCACACGTCAGGCGGTGTCACTGCTTGGAGCATCAATGCCTCGGACACGTGGCACTTGCTTCAACCAGAAAAACAATAGTTAAAACACCAAACACGCCTGATAAAGGAAAACCATGACCATTTGGATGCTGAGGAATTTTCATTGGTAGACTTGAATCCACTTTCACTCTGAGGTTTGAGCTGCCGCATTGGCAGCTTGGCGCTGCACTGAGATCTGGAAGAAGTCCTGGTTGCAATGCTGAGATGGCTGAAATGAAGGGACAAATCTTCAAACCAATTGAAAGATGCAAGAGATTCAAGTAAAATGACACTTTACAAAGATTCACACAGGTCACTTTTGCATACTTTTGCCCCGTTCTTTAAAATGTCCATGCCCAACTGTGTCGCCGGTCCAGGAAGGTGAGAATCGCTTGAAGACCACCAGCTTTTAAGACTTGCACTGGCTGATCCTGGTGGCCGGAAAAACTCCCAGGATGCGCTGTGTCGGTGCAGCACCCCATTTCAGCAGTTTGGGTCTAAGTTGACTCTTCACAAAGAGAGCACAGAACGCCCAAGAAGTAATTACTCATCATTCCAATCCATTCTCAAGAAGAAAAGCATTCAGAGATAAAATTGTGGACAACATTTGACAACATGCGACAATTTGTGACACCCTATGTGATTTTTGTTGAATTCCACTAAATAACTATATATATATATATGTTTAGCCCATCCACCTCCGAAATGAGCTCAATGGTGGAGACCGTAAGCTCGGCCACATCGATGTACTCGATGTTCAGCAGATTGGCACAAAGCACCGAGAGGCCGCCGTGACCCACGATGATGCGAGCCGTTGGTGGCCTCGGTGACACGTGCCACGTGCCATGGTCAAAACGTGGGATTCATGGTTTGTTGATGTTTGTTGGTCATCCATACTATGGGAACCCTCGAAATGGGTATATCAATCCCCATTAATCTTGGCACGACCCTTCCCCATGGAAATGTTTGCCCAAGTTTTGCCCATCAACTGCCAGACTGAGCACCCTGCAGAATGTCCACCACGTTGTAGAGGCATCTGCAGGCAAGTAACATGACCTGTCCAGTGGTCTCATCGCCACAGCCTGGATTGCCCAAGAGGTTCACCTGGGACACGGAATCCATAAGGATTCACAAGGATCTCATGATTTGTTGTGGATGTTGAATAGCAACGGAAAATTTGAATTATCAACACTATCACAGTTTTGCTCCCAAACGAGGAAACTGATTGTAAGAATTAAGAGTGACAAGAGAAAAATATATACGTATATACATTTATATATATATATATATGATTCTATATGTATACCTCGTCTTTTTATATGTTTTTCAGGTATTAGCGGAGAAAAAGGACGGCGTTGGAGATGGGACATTTTTGTCTTTGGTCCCTCCTGTTGCGACTTCTACAGCTAATACAAAGTCTGAAGCATGTTTAAAACATTTCCAAGTTCGAATATGTTCCAATATTCTCTACAATCTGCCCATAGAATCTCATCGATCATGAACCAGTCGAGTACATGTTGCGGACTCCGACCCATCATACGTGCTTGGGCGATCAAGGTCTGAACTGAGGCTTCAGCCAATAAGGGAATGAAGGTCTCCATTGGGAACGAGATCAAAGCCTCCTCCGAACCTGGAGTTTGGTGTGGCTTCAGTGCTGTTCACATGATTCACACAGGTCCCTTTTGCATCCTTTTGCAACAATCAAACAATATCAAACAATCAAGGAACAAAGTTGAACAAAGATGCCAAACATTCAAGTGATCACAGTGATCATTGAAGTCCTGGATGTTCTCATCGAAAATTGTCATTCAAATTATCACTGAAGTCACTATTGAAGGTCTCATGAAAGCTGTTATTAAAGCTATCGGCTATCATTGATAAATTTGAGAAGCGAATTCTACAGCTTGCAATTTGAGCCACTTCCAGATGAGCCGAGGGCTAAAACTCAGCTGCTCTGCCAGCTCTGTGAGAGCCACCAGCTGTTTCTGGCCATCCTCAGTGAGAAAATGACCAATCTACAAGGTTTTGTTCTGGCAGTCTGGTTTCTGTGACTTATGTAAAGCCCTGCCAATCACTAGTACAGAAGGGGATCCCATATCGGATCATTGATGGAACTAATTGGAACTACAATGGATTTCACAAATGATTACCCATGGTGAATGATGGTATGGAGCCCCATGTTTAACCATCACAGGGGATCTTTTGCCCAAGGCCACGACCTCGCTCTTGAGGTCTCTCAGCAAAGGGGAGAACTGTGAAGATGACGACCTGGGGCGAGATTTCCGCGATGCACCGGATGAGTTCGGGGCCAAGTTTGGGTGTTTGTAGTGATTCATGATGTAATGAAGGTATGTCGCTGCATTGCACTTTGAAAACATGATATGTCATGTCCACTACACTAAATGATAAGTAGATCATTAGATTGCATGAGATTTGTCATGGCAATTGACCAATGTCTTCGAGGATACCTTGACGATACACTTGTTAGGCTACGGCTATGCCTGGAGATCCATGAAGTGTCCATGCTGAAATCTTTAGGCAAACTCGCTGCACTTAGACATCTGCGAGGAGGAGCCAAGACCAAAGGGAAAGCCTGGCAAAGGCGCACTTGGCGCTTGTCAAATCACTTCCAGAAACACGTCCTCAAATTGAAGTACTTTGCACACCCAGGAGATCCCTGGACACCCTAAGGGACCCTTGCATTCTTCCCATATCTCCCATCTTCAGACTCAGAGCGGTCACATGGCACCTCCGGGCGAAGCCTCAGCACCTTCCATCTGTGCACGCTTCATGAAGAAGCTGAAGGCGCCTGCTTTGAACATCTGTGAACCCTCTCAAGCACCTGTTGCTTTCACCTGTGTACTCTTGGCAATGTAAGGACCTTTATGTCTTGCGAAGATCATCCATTCTATAAACACATTGTCTTGGGTGAAGCAGCATCTTGAGGCCGCTTATACCTATATGTCCCATGTTCAATCTTCCTATCGCAAAGATTCTACCCAAATCCTCGGCCGTTCACCTAGATCTCCACCACGATGTCTGGCCCTGGAAGGACAGAGGAACGTACAACCGCTTCGCAACAGATTGTTGGTCGACAGCGATGGGTTAATGATCTTTTGGAGTTTGCATGGTTCTGGCGCAGTACACCAAGAGCAACAGGAAACCTTTACCTATCCAAACTGACAGCATCGCATGCTCTGAGTTGCCCTGAGGGTTTCTTCCGATCCCCTTTTAGACATTCGTACACATTATAAATCATTATAATATAGTCGGGGTGTTTCAGCATTTTGTGCCCAGGTACCAGACAGTCCGCCCAATCCACTGTGAAACAGTCAAAGCTGCGCAGGCTGGAAAGACCTGGGTTTCCCGACAATCCACGCGCCATTCCTTGGGGAGTTTCTGCTTCCTGCCAAGCGCTTCAATTTGCAACACCCAGCAGGTCGCTTTCGTTAATGTTTCAGTCTGCTGAGTCCAGCAATCTGCCTGGGCCCTATTGCAGTCGAAACAAAGGTGTTTCAATGTGTTTCATAGCTTCACGCATTTTGACTTTGCTTCCGTCTCAAGGGCCGGGGTGCTCAGAGATCTACTTGTTTTTCTCTTGCTTCCGCATTCAAAGCCAGATCGATAAGCACTTTTGTGAGAAAGTACGCGAAACTCTTTGGCCATCTGTTCTAGCATCAGAATAGAAACTGTCCTCTTGTAATTTCAACATTGGTTTCCATTTGTGGGAACTATCTTCTTCACGTCGTACTGTCCATGGTTGTCATAAGCAAAGCCAGAACTTGTCTCGCACATTTGACTGACTCTTTGAAGCAATGTTGATGTGATCTTCTTGTGACCAGGAACCACCCCTGGCTGTTCTGGCAAAGGCAGCTCAGCAGTACCACATTTTTTCCGCCGCAAAGCTCGTCTTCTAAGTTCTTGTGCGTTCTCTTCGTACCCATTCAAGGAGGAAAGCCACTAGCAATGATGCACAGCCAGCGACGAAAAAGCACTTGAATCTATTCCATTCCTTCCTCAGTCAGAATCAGATAGAAAAGTCTCCAAATGTATTCAGTGCAGTATCTGTGTCAGCATGCCCATGATCCTCGCCTTTCAGTCAGGGCCACCTGCCACCTGCATCCAAGTTTCCTTCCATAAAGAAATCCAAGACACAATGGTGTAAGCACCCGTCCAATGTTGTTCATGAAAGAATCTAAGCCAAGAACCTCACACGAAAGGCAATTGGCTATTCCCATGTGTTGCGTTGTGTTGCGTTATGTTGCGTGCCATTCAGATCACAAACCTCCAAACTCTTCTTACAATTCAACAGGAACTGGAATGATTCCAAAATACGCCAGCATGGATCTGAGAGCAAGCAAGACTTTGGTTGCAGATTCTTGGTAGCCCGGTACAAAGTTGTTTTTATCGGTTCCATGTCTGGAGGGAAAGGTAACCAACGTGAAAAGTATCAAACCGTGAATGGAAACTCCTAAGGCCAGCAAATTCAGCACGCAACCAAGAGTGGCATCAAAATCAAAAATCCGAGGTCTTAGCTTCCCGAACACAATCAAGGCATGCAACATCTACACCAATGGCACTCTGCAGCCTGACCCGTGTGACCATGGAAACACCTGTTGTGGCTGCCACATTCCACCTCCCCAAGTGGAAACCTGGCAAGTGCACCTATGGTGCATTCCAACAGCACCCTTTGGGGATGCCCCGGCTTGCATAGCAGCCACACCCTGATGCAACCTGTTCCCATGCACAGTTTGATTGCCATGAGACCTTGCCACGGTGGTGTTTCGGCACGGACTGTGCCAGCAGAGTTGGCACCGTCGTAGGGAATGTGGCAGAGCCAAAGGCATAGAAAAGCACACCTGTCAAAGGCCATGGTGGCGACGCAGATGCTGAGTACAGAAGAGCCCGGAAGCGCACTCTCTGGAAAACAGTGAGTGGTTCTGGATCCCATTTATGTGAGTTGGAAAGACCCTAGCGGAAGAGACATCGGCAATCCAGACTGTTAAAAGGATTAACAATACTGCAAAATCAAGCGCACTGAGCTACACCTCAACTTGATTGTGGGGCAACCCCCAGGGCCGTAGTCACCCGGCACCTATGCAGAGCAGAGCTTTGTCCAGAGCTTTGTCCGGACATACATTTGTGTACGCAACGAAGAACAAACCTAGGTACAAATTAGCTTCTCATTTCGCAGGTCAGTGGCAAGACTTCAAGCTTACCTCATCCATGCAGTCAACTCTGTCAGTACAACCTCACTGCAGGTGCACGTTCCAAGGAACCAATGAAGATGGCCACAGCGCCACAAATGCCTGTCTTTTCCAGGCCCTTCCATTTTTCGAAAGGTTTATAGACGCATACCTGGACAGGTGGCTCACTCCACATCTGGACAGCATCAAGCTGTAACCTATCCATCAGTGATGTCCATATCTGATGACATTTAAATTTGTTTTGATGCATGACACTGTCAGTAATTCCAGTAATGTCCATGACAACGTAGCTGTGTACCAGTAGCACTGGTGGATTGGAGGCTATTTGGGGTACAATTCCTGCCTGAAAGAAGAGGACAGCAATACTCGTGCCAGTGAGACACCATCCGATGCCTGACAGCACTTGCATGAAGCCCCTTGCAGTTAGTTCAAGGGGAACAGCAGGAACAACAGCGAACTGCTATGGAAAACAACAAACATCAGCCATGACCCCATTAGCCATGCCAGCTGCACCTCGCGGTGCTAACTCGAAGGTATCGTTGAGATAAAGAGGCATGAAGAAGGTGAAGCATGTTTGGCTCACCACGTAGCAGAAGGACATGGCGAAGACCTGTGACATACTCGGAGAAAACGTGGGAAATGTGTTTAAAGATGTGAATCAGCCATCAACATGACAGCGGCAACAACGATGGCAGCTCAATGGGGAAGCCCTCTCTTTCAGGGCATTGTCCCTCCCCAGCTCTGCTGCCTTCCTCAACAACGGCCAATCGTCCTGACTCAGGGTAGGGGCCGGTGACATGCACGTGTCCCTTAAGAAGCGAATCGAAAGCTCGCGGCAAAGTCTTCTCATCAAGTGGACCGTGCCATGGTCCAATAGTACCATCTCGACCCTTCTTCTTCTTCCCCTTTTTCTTCTTCTTTTTCTTCTTCCAGACAAATCCCAGTCTGTACATCTGTACCGGATTTTCTGACCAACGCACAAAAGTGCTTCATTCGTTGGACCTCGGACAAATCACTCTATCCCCCGAGGAATTTGAATGGCATCATTTTAGAGTTGAAGAAAATCCATCTGCCACAAATTTGATCAACTTCAAGAATTGCGCAGGAGCCGCTGTCCTTTTGGGCCTCCTCTACCTCGTAGTTTGGGGTTCCTTCTTCATCAACGTGACGCTTGGACTCCTCAACAAAGAAGACGAGAACAATCACGCCGACGAAATGCGCCACCGCCGTGGCCACGAAAGGCGCAGTGATGCCAAATTTCTGGCGGCGACTGGGGAGAGGCGACTGGGGGGTCAGTTCACTCGTAGTGGTAACCCTGCTGTTCACACTAAAATAGCTCATAGATATGGATGTTCAATGATGTTCATCCTACAAAGATCGTATTGTACAGTAGGTTTTGAGCTTACGATCCGCTTGGGAACCGTTGAGGATGGATGTCCTTAGCAACTGGCACCTGGGAGGATCACTACAATGTTGAAGATTGCTGAAGCCTCATTGTATAAACATGTCTAAATTGAATGAAATGGATGCCTTGGACACCTGACTTGCGAATAATTGATCATTCTGGTGCAAAGACATACGGTCCAGCAGCTGTTGCCTTAGGCCCATTTGGCGCTTCCCCGTCTTACCCGGCAGTACCCTATCCAAGACTTTCGTGACCCGGTCCGTTGTGAGTATGCCGCCAACGGTGGGTCCAATGATGAAGGCCATCGTAGCTGAAGCCTCACGATACACCATGTAGAACGGCAAACGGTCCGACGGCACTACATCTGCCAAGTAGGCCTGGGAGACGCGGTTTACCCTCCGAAATCAAAGCAACAGCGTTCAGAGTCAACCTCAAACTGACAACCTCCAGATCTCATTGGCCGGTGAGGTTCACCAAAGCTTTGCAAATGATCAGCATGTGGACGCTTCTCCGATTACTTGCTTCTCAATTCATTGAAGGTGCAGCAGTTGCAGTCCTTGCATGTTCCAGGCCTTGAAGATGGGATTGCAACCAGCGAAAAAACCAGTCACAACGCGCACAAGTACGAAGTACTGAAAACCAAAGTACATCAACGCCAACGCCTCTCAGGGATTCGCAAAGTTTTCATGACAGCGTTGCTTGCACCAAGAGATTCAAGCTGCACCAGTCTCTGGTCTGTTGTAGAGGCACGTTTTGGGCAGGTAGCATAGCCACCTGACTGACTATCACCCATTCAATTATGGAAAAACCCTGGTAGCATAATATAGCATGGTACAGGAAATGGGTGAAATGGATGTTCATCCCAGAAAAAGGTCTCAAAGGTATTTACATGTATTTACCCATCTCCAGATGCACTGACTTTGTCTGGCCACACCTGCACAGCGTACAGCCCCGTAGTCACAGAGAGGGACCACACCAATACTTTACGACGGCCCCAGGAGTCGCTTTTGTGCGGCCAAAACGTAACAGCAACGAGCATGCCCATGGACCTAAGCAGCTCCATGTGATGCTTAGAACTCTCGCATGCTACTTTCGTAATGACTCTGCTGTCAAACCTGGCTGCCTGATTTCTTTCAGTCAGCTGCCAGATCCATATGACCCATCTCAAAACATAAAGCGTTCCATCTGTCGAGCTCTGTCAACTTTCTCCCACTCTGAAAACAAACAAGGTGACTCCGAATCTCGGTTATTTCATGCGCGCAGAGGCATTGAGAACCGAAGATGCAAATAATATAATTATAACAAGTCTGTATCCCTCTCGAAGACCAATAGTCGTCTTGGATCTCGACTGTGATGGCAAACTGGAGGTGGCACATATAATTTGCCAAGCCACATAGAAGCCGCAACCAACCCAGTCCAGAAGCCGTGTAGAGTGTATCGGCTTCGAATCCCTGGCAGTGCGGGTCCTGGCATAGTGAAGCCTGACAGGTCATGAAAATGCAAAGCAACAGCAGCATAAATTTATTTATTACAAAGCAGTAGACTTGATCAACAGGCTGTATTCACGACTTCCGCGCAAAAACACCATGGCCGGCATGATTTCTCATCCTCTTGACTTTGCATTGATTGGAACCAGAAGCCAAAAAAAGAGAGCTGGCCGCTGTGGGAGTGAAAAAATCACAAAAAAAATGCACTCCCGCAGCCGCCAGCTCTCAAAAAAAGCTCACGTGTCGACATGGAGTATTTCCCTGATCTTTTTTCTCCGCTTCACAGTCTTCAAAAACCGTTTGTTGCGATGCAAGTATTCGCTTGATTTATGCTACCAAAGGCATCAGCAATAACAAGTCGAGAATGACTGAAATCTTTTGGATTTCCATTTCTGCCATCAACAAACTCAATTTGTGGATTTGAAACAGAACTGCGAGGACGCGTAAGCTTGAAATCCCTGTACACTGACACAACTAGCGGTGTAAAGCCCTGTCAGTGATGTGCCTAGGAGACTCAAGCAGGATGCAAACAGCAGCCATTTAACACTCTTTTCGCTCACCTGGTCCAGAACATCCACGAAAATCACAAACAAGCGGTGGGGATCCACAGCATGAATCTATTGCCATTGAAACAACGGACTTTCAAGCAAGGAGTATCATAATCTTTCATAAGCCTGAGAAGCAATACTTATATAATGTAAATGCGTGGGGCGGGTGCTTTTTCTCGATGTCTGCTGATCATATGAAGTTTCCAATGTTCCAATGTTTTCGCTTTCACCTAGCTGCTACCACCACGAAGTCCCACCTGCATGGGCGTTAACGGCGAAGCAGCAGGGGCCGCAGGAGAGCTCGCAGTTGAGTGCAGCTGCTGATGCCGCTCCCGACTGAGTTGAAACAATTTCCTGTGGCCATAGTGTTGACAGTGTTGACAGGGTCAAGTCTGCACCAATTTTGCTTTGTGGAACTTTCAGCACACCTACAGAGGAGGTCACTTGCTCAGTCAAGAATATTCAGCCTCTTTACAAATTACAGCAACACTTTATTTGAGAATCTTCCGTGTCTGCCCCATACTGGATTTCGTGTAGAACATTCAAGTCCTACGACCGAGAACTGTCCTCTTGGATCTATTGGCGCAGAACCTCCCACTCACCAGAACTGCGAAACTGCAGCTCGCAGTCCTCCAGGCAGCTCGAGTGTCCAAGGCTTCATCTAGTTTATGGCAAAACGGTGGACCCTGGCTTCACAACAAAATATCTGGCATGAGTATTCATCCCAAAAATATGGTATCATAGGTTTTGACCATCTCCAGGTGATTGAGGTCAAAGTTTGACTTGCACAAACTTTGTTCCTGGTTTCATCTTTTCATGTCTCTTGCTCTTCCATCTCTGTTTCCATGTCTGGATCCAGATCCATCCTCTGATAACCATCCCCAATATGGCCATGGTAGGTTTGTCGGGGGGTTTACCACAGGCACATGAAGATCATGAAGTCCCCGGGTCCAAAGGTGTCGCTGCCAGTGCTTGGATCTGGCAACAGCTTTCTGCGACATCTCCGACCAGCCACGCGGCCGCTCGGCGCCATGCTGCGCCGTAGCAACGAGCCGCGTGCGCGGCTCCAACGGCTCCGGCGACATCAAAGGTGGCCGCCATGTGCCCGCGCCGGCACTGAACAGAGCCATGGATTCTGCAACACGACATGGACATGATGGACATGACATGAAGATGACCTGGAGACATGATGAATATTAATGAATATGACTGGATATGACCTGACTTGACCGAACATTTCCCAAAAGCTGTATCTAGGATACTCGGCCCATGTACCATCCCATCTGCTCATTTGCCTCGCTAGGAGAGTTGGACGCTGCCGATTCTGCACCTGTAGCCCCAAGAGGGTACGATTCTCCCAAAATGACTTTCCCCAGAAAAGTAGGCATGGCTCCCAATTCCCCAGCGAGCAAGACGGATCGAACAAACCTTACCACGAATCACAATCATTACTCTTCAACAGTGTGCATAACTACAGGTGTGCAAATGGTATTTCGGTCTGTCAGGAGGTGCCACAAAGTGCTGCACGTCTTCCCAATCTGTCAGCATTTAAAATCTCTCTGGCTTTGTTCCCAAGGAACCACGAAATTTCACCACATAGAGATGGGCTTGGACCGTAGATTTGACGTTTCTGCATGTGGCATCTCTCATACCCTTCGCAGCCTGGCCTCGCGACATTGCTTTCACCTAGATCACCAGCAATGCACAAGGATGGTGGCCCATTTCAATTGCACTGCTTCAACTGATGCGACCACATAACGAAGGGGGTGGCTGGTGCGGGAAAGCACAAACATTTAGGAATCCCGCAATGCAGAATCATGCAAATAGATCCATGGACAGTTGTCTAGGGCTGCAACATCGCAACATCATCGTCCACATATCACTGATCCACCATACGGAGCAACTTTGATATCACAAACACAAACCACACAAAGATGTATTCTCCATGTTACAACAGTTTCCTGTTTCTCTCAGACCCATGGCTGCAGGGAAAACATCTCATGTCCCCAGTGGAAAAAAAGCTGTTTAAGTAGTGAAACCGCCCCATGAGACCTCCTTGCGCGGAGCTTTTGATCTGCCTGGTGGACAAAGTCACGCGCCACGAAAGTAGGGACAAAGTGCCGATCCGTACTGAAGCAACAGGTGAAGCTATCAGCTTCCTGTAATTCAGATTTACACCCAAAAAGGTGTTCAGGTGTTCCTGTTTTCATTCCCCGGATTTCTTGTCCCTGGCATACCGCCAATTTCATGGTTGCTGATGAAGTCCAGGGATGTCCAGAGCCCGCCTTTCGGGGCGGCAGACTCTGTCTGTCGCCTGTAGAAGACAGAAACCACTCGATACTCTCTTGTCTGGTATAAGCCAAACACGACAAGTGCCTCCAATCTGTCAGGAACAGACTTGAATGATCATTGCAAATTACTTTCCAAAAGAAATACTTGGAGAAACCAGCCACGAATTGGAGAGAGGCATCCATTCCTGGTAATTCAACGAGGTCGGTCTTTTTGATGACTGATTTCGTTGCTATCCAGGTAGTACCAAGGAGCACAGCGCTGACCAGCAAATACCCAAGCCCAAATCCTGGCCTTTTTGCCGGGGCTGATGAGGCCCCCTTAGAGCGTTCGGTGCCTCGGCGGAAGCCACAATTTGGGACCAAGGTAAGATTTTTTTTGTTTGGTTCTTTGGATGTTAAATTGATGTTAAAGCAGCTGAATTTTGATGAATTCTGAACTTATCTGCCAGGTCTACAAAGTCCTTTCTCGGAATGACTTAGGAAACTCAGCGGGAGCAAACATGGCGGCCAACATCCATTTTCTGCAGTGACTTTCCTGAGGACTGCCAAAGCTTCCTGGTGCCAACAGCACATCATCAAAATATCGCCTCTGCGCAAGAGGGCGCAGTGGGAGCTGCTTGGCACTTGCGCTGACCTTTCTGAAGTTTTGGCCAACAAAGATTTGAAATATGTGTGTCTGCGTCCTTTCCTTTCGGCTGGGTTGAATTTCTCCTGGAACAAAGCCATAGTTGCGGACAGCCGGACATTCCTTATAAACGCAAGAGCCAATCCTTTGTGTAGTTTGTCTCTGCTTGACGCCATCAACACAATCCTATCAAACCCAGAGCACAACCCCTAGCCATGCTCCATCTCAGAGGCTGCTCAGTAGAAGTAACGGTGCATGCTCTGAAACTTGAACTTGTGCTTCTGACCTTAGTCATCTTAGTCCATTTGGCATCCGAATGGGCGAGCAGCAAATCGAGCGATCTTTGCTTGAGTCTAAGCCCAAGTGACGGAGGATTGCCAGGCCATGTCCAATGGTCTGCTCAATCTTGGGCTTGAAGTCTGGGTGCTTCTCCAAGATCCTAATTCAGCAACTGAGCTTATTGAATAGCTGATTTGCATCTGATGCATCTAATTTTTGCAAGCGTCACCGGCGTCACCTTGTACTACCCTTTCAGCATGACACCTTGCAGGTTCCTTTACATAGATAGTTAGGTCATTAACGGCAGGATGTTTCACAATATCCAAAGGAACGACCCTGATGAGGTACTCCGACCTCGGCCCGTGCCAGCACTTGTGCACTAGGCAAGCGCTGCTGACAGGGCCACATAAGAATATAAGAATTGTAATCAGAGCCACAGCCTCAACCACAACAAGAACTATCAAGAACTACTAGGACAACTACAACCAATGACAAAGACAACTGATACACGAGCGACGACGATGACGACTACAACAATGCCGGCGACCACTACGAAACTAGAACTACGACGACCACGACGAGGACAGAAGGACTTTCCAACTACAACTTGTCAACAAGTCCCCCGCTAATTATGAGAGCAATTGAGAAATGCATTCTTCAGCAATCTGGCCTGTGAATTAGGAAGATATGGATCTTGGGGCACTTCACACAATCACCGGACCAGATCCCAGTATTGCCCACCAAGAATCTTATCATAGCTCTCAGCAGCAGACTTTGCCTGGGGGGAAAAACATGGGAACAAAAGCTGGATATGACAGCTGACCCTAAAGATCGATGAGTTTTCTCAACCAGATAGAGCTAAAAGCCATACTTTCATCAACAGGCAATCTTTGTAGATCAACCCGCATATTGCAGGTGTCTTTTCCTTTCCAGTGAACGGCAACCTTGCAATTGAGCTCCAGGCATGTTCATCCATGTTCTCTACCTTCTCCTGGGGGGAAGATATCCAATCCCTGATTTCACTGATGATGGTTGGTCTCCTTTTCATTCGAAATGGATTGGAATCTCTATACGTCCCTTGGTCCCTTGGAGAAAACCACAGGGATTGAGCAATCCATGATATCTTGAGAAGTCAATAACTCGCAAACATCAGCAAACCAAAGGGCTCAAGTCAACTCGAGATGCAAAAGTGTTTAAAGTGTTTGCCAGGATGTAACTTGTGGAGATGACACTGGCGCCACGGCGTCCTCAGCAGCAAAGCCAGTGCCCATGAAACCACTGGCGCGGGTTGCAAGCTCTGCCAGCTCGTTCAGGTGGTCGCGCACATCCTGCGATTCAACGTGAACACCCATGCATTCAAAACACAATTGTAGAGACAGTGTAAGGCCTAGTATCATATATATATATATATGTATATATATATATATAATTAGCTGTATATTGTACGATAATTGATGTTTGCTTTAAGGTGACACCTACATTGGGTCTGTCTTCGAACTCTGGTCTTGACAGCAACTCGCTCGGTTGCAGCGCCTTGGAAGACTGGGCAAAGAGAGTCTCAGTTTCTCTGGGTTAACACCCCGTATCTTCCCCGGTCAAGGGGTTCGAGACGACAACAGGGCACACCTCGCATTGGTAGAAGACATCCATCCTCAACGCGAGTTGTGAAAGGCTGGCAGCGCTTACTGAGGATTACTGAGGAGTATTAAGTGCTTCAAGAAAAGTCAAGTCCAGTTGACTTCAGCAAAAAAACCAGGAATAATACTGCATAAGACAACTTGATGCAGCTCAGCTTCATTTCCTGAACCTGTTTGAACTTGTCGCCTTGTCGCATGGCCGGCTTTCATTCATGCAAGAAATCAGCAAACATGACTGTCTCAGCACATTTGTTTGATTCAAAATTAATCTGACGGCTACAGCTTGTCGTTGGAACATGTACCTCCTTTCTAGCACATAGCATTTGCCAACCTACTTCCGGTTCATGCAGGTATGGCTGAACCACGGTGGTCAGTTTCCTTAGATGACCGCACCGTTGCTGTCAAACTTGAGCATGACCGTATTAGATCTATACCAAAAGCATACAGATCATTAGCAAAACGTGGGAATTCTACTTTTTGTTTACACATTATTTGAAAAGAAACCCTTGCAAAATGACAGGCTCAAGAAGGTAACGGAATTAAAATGGAAGGCCAAACATTGCAATGCTTTAAGCCGCTTCAAAATGAGCAAGTGTTCGCGTAGCCCCCAGAAGGACGACCGTCTGCAACGCTACAGAAGTCCATTACGGCGATGTCTTGAAGCAAACTTGACATGTCAACAAGGTTGTCGTCACCATTTGCTGCCATGGTGCTCAAACTCTGCCTCGTGCACCGTTGAAGGTGCACATAGTTGTCAAAAACAAGAAGACAACAAACAGAAAATCACAAGGGTTTCAAGAAAATATCCTGGAAATTGACTCGACCATACCACTTCATACTTTCGATCCTTGGAATTCTTCTGGCTACACAAAAATCCATAGCAAAAGGATGGAAAAGGGACCGTTTCCTTCCAAGGGGATTTTCCCATAGCATATAGTCAACTGAAACAAGACATATATATATATATTAAATTATATATATATATGCAGTATGTAGATACATATAGATAGGGACTGGCAGAGAAGATCAAAAGCTTCTCTCTCTATCGATACGTTGCACCCAAATACAAAGTGTTGCGCTCTGCCCAGCTTTCCACACCTCCCAGAATGGAACACTGTAGACCAAGTTGAGGTAGTCGGCCCAGTTGGTACTCATCACCTCAAACACTCTTTGTTTTTTTGCAAGACCATTAGCACATGGACAGCATCACCTGCTGAGGCGTGGACAGTCGCATGGTACCTCACGACTAAAACTGGGTGAAGACTTGGGTCACAAACAAAACAGTGAGTCACGGAGAAGTTCTTGCAGTGCTCTGAGGAAGCGGAATCGCAACCAACACGAAAACTGCAATGAAAGCTGAGATCCAATAACAAAACAGTCCAACATGAGAATCGCAATACTCCCGAAATGCAGCAAGTTCATGAGCTCAGGCAAGCAACTCGTCCAGGAGAGAAACAACATCATCCCGGGTGTACTTTTGAACCTGGCAACAGTCCGTCTATTTCAAAAACAAGACATTCTGCCAGCCTAAAGTGGTTTGGTCCCAGGCTCAAGCCTCCACTCTGAAGCTGAGATGAGTTCTTGGTATGTTACTCATGATATTGATCCAGACAATGATCCAACGGCCACGGACGGAGATGATCCGTCTCAATCGCATGTGTGGAAGGCGCCAAGTGTAGGTCCCTTTTTCAAACTGTAGGCACTATAGACAAAAAATTGGCACAAGCAATCCCTGGTACTTTGCCTGAATACTTGGCCTAGAAAACAGCACCGATTCTTTATGTTCCCACTCTACTAGTTTGAGCTTCTGCACCAGCGTAGTGTGGTGAATAGTATGGAATTGGAAAAAATCAAGCAGTCAACCTACTTAAACTACTTTACTTTTTGCAAGACAAACCAAACAAACATGCACCAAGAGGCAGTGATGTAGGAGCGCACAGAGTCCTGAGGATACACAAAACATGGAGAATCACACATCCAACTCCAGCTGTCTTTCAAGATAATTGCAGAACAACTGCAAATAGGAAAATTCAAAAGAGCTATCTGAAGATGTCTGAAGATGTGACACAAACGCCCGTACAATGACTGTGACGTGCCCCCGACCTGGAACGGGGAGCGTGGGCAAGCCAAAGGCAGTCGTGCAGCTGGCAAGGCGGACTGAACGCGGGCGAACCTTCGGAGCACATGCTTCGCTTCAGGTCTACGTCCAGGCCTACCATGTCTTGACCATGTTCTTGACCATGTCTTGTGGATGGTTGTGAGAGCTCAACTATGAACATGAGTTGGAATTGCAATGCAAGTCCCTCTATTCCAATTTGGACCAGCCTGGTGGCCTTGCCAGCGCAAGACCTGATCAAATGCCAAATGTCCACTCTTTCCTTTTACTTTGCAAAGTCCGGATGCTGCGACGCCTTCACACTCTCTTTCAAGGATTTGCTAGTCCAAGAAGAGATTGAGCAAGTGCTCTCTGTATAGAGATAGAGATAGAGATAGATCTGGATATTCATGCAGGTATGGCTGTCGGTATGAGCAAGATCTCGAAATGGTCTACACTCTACACAGTCTGCACATGTATTTCACCAATTTTCACCTATTTTCACCATGTCACCATGATTCCCTCAGATCCCCACGCGAAGCGTCGCATCGCTGCAGTCGCCATCTCTCAAGCCTCATGAGCTGGAGAGAGTGATGAGTGATTGCCACACCTGTTCTACCATTCTGCAATTTTTCTCTTATCAAAAAGCCATCTCACCTGATCAAGAACTTCGGAGCCGGCACACATGCTATCAGCTGCTATCAGATTATCAGCATCCTGATTCCTGAGCACAGCTGCAACCTAATGCAGCTCAGACGCAGGAAACCAGAGAGCGGTAAGTATCGCTTGAGCCAGATCTTTTCCACCGAGTGGAAAGGCTTAGATGTGCACTTGATGTCAACTCAAAAACAAATTTCACCTACAGTTCAAGTGAGATCATGGAATGCTGAACTACAGTGGAGTCTGCTGACCTTTTTCTCCGCACATGCAAACTGTTGATTTGATTCATGCAATTTTCTTATAAACCGAATGCAATACAGCAAATCCAGCCTTTCAACAAAAGGATGAAGGAGAGGAAAGTTGTGTTTCTTCACCATGCAGGTTCCGGAAACACATTAAATGGCAATCATGCAGAAAACCCAAATTCACTCATGCTGGTGTCTGTGAAAGCAACCTAAAAAAACGATGCACAACAAATCGGAGTTGACTTGTGCAATTTGAAAACATGTCATATATACTGTACCCATTTTCCAAGTCCTTGAAATACTCCAGCATACTCCAGCACTTTCCCAACGAGTTCCCTTGTTCCCACATCTGGGAATCCAAACTGACACGCACCCTCTTTGGTTTGTCCTCAAGTCTGGCCAAATGTTTTCACAATTCACAAAAAGATAATTAAGTTCCGTGGGGTCCGAGAGCTTAAGAACACAATTGAAACCTATACTTCAGCAGCAAACGATGGGATGCAATCTCTTTAAAAATCGTTGAAACCTGTCAGATCGTGATCGTGTATGTTCGATCGTGTATATTCACAAGAATACAACCCCAATTTTTGCCATGGGCCATGAGTATATGTGCTGTGCATGTGGGCAACCATTCCCCCCCATCACAGCATGTTTTTTCATCCCAAAACTGAGCCAAGAACAACCTCAGCAGCCGGCCGCTTCCGAGCCGATTGTGTGCACCTGCAGGCAATGCATTCGGATCTGTCTTCGGATTTGGAACGTTTTCAACTGCCAACAACCTCCAGTGGCAACAGTTCGACAAGTTGCCGCCAGTCAGGAGTCACCAAATAAACCATACTGGATGCAAGCGCCCAAAAACAAATCGCCTAGATCGGGCCATGCACACCCAGGGTCATGGGATAACACCTCAGCTGGGATGCAATCCAATTCAAGATTCAATGCCATTCATCGCGGATCTATTGGTTGGTTCTTGAATTTTATGATTATCACATGCCCCTATTGATTTTGATGTTTTATCAATTTTGCCATGCAACCGTTTTTTCTATCACTGTCATTATTATCATTCATCATCATCATCATCATCATCATTCATAATCACCACCACAATCGTGTTTGTCAGGCATGGCCCGTGTCACAATACAACCCACTGGGTCTTTGAACTGCTTGCCACTCCCAAAGGCATCAATGAAGATCTGCAAGCAAGGGAGGGTGGCCCACGCGAGTGGCAAGCCACTGGAGCCAAGCAGAAAAAATGGTGGTATTCATGGACATCAACACGTGTTCCACACATGTTCATTATTTCAATTTGAACGGTTTAGGATGAAAAATGGAGGCCACCCCAAATGTATATTTATTTTTCCTGTTTAAATAAAAATAAATGAATTGTCTGCATTCGCCAAACCTGAAGCAACAAGATGGCACAAAAAGCGGGACAACGCCGGCCTTTGCATTTGCAGAAGTCAATTCAGTGATTTCCAAGGTAAAAAAACAGATGATTCATATGATCTTTTTTTTTCAGTCCGTCTGTTCTTTGTTTGGTGCATCAAAGAATCAAAATAACGACGCACGCAACAAAATCAAACGCTTTCAAACAAATTTCCAATTTCACACCCATGAACAACAAACAGCGAGAAAATCCAGTTTCTGATGCCGATGAACTGTTTGTTTGTTTTTTGGAACGGATCCACTGTGTGTTGATGTGCGAAATGGTTTTTCCCACAGATTCAGGCAGCACCAAAACACAGCTACCTTTTCTGCTGTAGCTTCTTCGAGCCACTATTTGGGCGGTATCACATGAATTGTTTTGTGCTGAGTCATCCTTGCAGAACCATGCCATGCAAATCTTCCCTGTATCGTTCTTAGCATCAACTGGAGACATGACTGATCCTAAGGAGTGCAGTTACTAAAATCTGACACCCCACCTTGACAGCATTCCCTGCGGATTCCTGTCACCTTTCGTGGTGCTACCTGCAGTTTCTAGACCCTTTACCTAGGCCTACTGTGCCATGCATA